CCAGCTTATGAACCACTGAGACTGAGGGACAGATTTACCGAAGGTGTCCAAGTGCCTCAATTTTCCTGGGGAGCAAAACTCCACGAAAAAGAACGGGTAGTTTAGCAGTGGCACTTGAATCACCCAGCTTCAGAGTCCTTCCAACGCAGATGACGTTCCAGCCAAGCCAGCCATTGCAGGCTCCTTTACAGCCACAGAATGGAAGGGAACTGCGCTCCAGAGGGCTGGTTTCTCTGCGCTGATACAAATGAAAAGCAGATGATCAGCTCAAACGCACTTGTCTGAGGTTCAGCAAAATGGACCCCTGGGTACCCGAAGGAGAACAGAAGTAGTGCCCATCTAGCCTTGGAGAGGCAATGCAGGCCGCGTGATGGACCCAGAGCAGCCTTCACCCAGCTCTTCAGCAATGCCACAAGATGGGCTGCAGACGACAAGCACTGGAGTGGGAGTCACAATGTCTGTGCTCTATTACCACCACTAAATGCTTCCTCTGGCCATGGTTTCCACCACCTCCATCACGGAATCATAAAATGCTTTGGGTTGGAAGGGACCTTTAAAGATCATCTAGTCCAACCCCCTGCAATGAACACAGACATCTTTAACTACATCAGGTTGCTCAGGGCCCCATCCAACCTGGCCTTGAAGGTTTCCAGGGATGGAGCATCTACCACCTCTCTGGGCAGCCTGTGCCAGTGTTTCACCACCCTCATTGTAAAAAATTTCTCCCTTACACCTGGTCTAAATCTACCCTCCCTTAGTTTAAAACCATTATTCCTTGTCCTATCACTACAGGCCCTTGTAAAAACTCCCTCTCCAGCTTTCTTATAAGCCCTCTTTAAGTACTGAAAGGTCACAATAAGGTCCACCTGGAGCCTTCAATTCTCCAGCCTGAACAGCCCCAACTCCCTGTCCTCATAGGAGAGGTGCTCCAGCCCTCTGACCATTTTTGTGGCCCTAACTCTCCCATAGAGGAGCATCTTCCTTAATATTGACAAGGGCACCACAAACCTTTACTCTGTCAGATGAAGGATTTCAAGCAGAACACAGTGTAAGTGGCAGGGTGGGAGGAAAGATCTCTTGTGTTTCCACTCTTCCAGATCTCACTGAGTGTTTGTGCTCTTCTTATTGTGAGGTCTTGAGAACCCAACTTGCCCCCCTATTCTTCACCCTAAAGATATCAGTTCTGATCCTATGGAAACCACCGCTGAGGCTCTTCTGCCTCCAGCTGCCTCGCTCAGTTATTTTCTTACATGCAACTGGTCACCAAAAGCACTATCAGCCATTTTAGGTTATGAATGCTATCCACGGACCCTGTGAGAGCAGCCAAAGGACCCCAAGGTACTTCCTTCCAGACAGCTGTGGCACGACACAACCCATCTGCATAGGACATGGGCAGGACATGGGGCAACGGGCACAAACTGAAGCAGAGGAAGTTCCATCTGAACATGAGGAAGAACTTCTTCCCTCTGAGGGTGACGGAGCACTGGAACAGGCTGCCCAGAGAGGTTGTGGATTCTCCTTCTATGGAGATATTCAAGACCTGCCTGGACGAGGTCCTGTGCAGCCTGCTGTAGGTGACCCTGCTTTGGGAGGGGGTTGGACTAGATGACCCACAGAGGTCCCTTCCAAACCCCACCATTCTGTCATTCTGTGCATACAGCCACAAAAGCACTAGCAAAGCCCCCAGCAGACCAGCGCTCGCAAACCCACGTGACAAAACGTATTAGCTGAACACAACCCAAAAAAAGCATACAAAAGGGAGATCATCTTTTCCGCTGGACGTGCTACAAAAGCGGATCTCATGCCCTCACTGTTTTCTTTCTGGAACTGGAGTGAAATATCAAAGGATAATTCTAAACACATTTGGATGTGCTTGATGCAGGAGAGCGCAGGGCAGTATCTCCATCAGGCCACAGAAACCCACCCCTTGTTAACTCTCTGTTCTTTCTTGCCTCCCCCACGTTTGACAGCTCCTGGAGCAGGTCCAGCATCGTTGCAGCAGCAGCATCGCCAGAACCTATTCCACATGCTGAGCAGTTTCTGAAGGAAAAAGCATTTCCTGACATCTGTTCTGAATTCACTCCTCTTCTCCTCCTCCCCCACTTGGCTTCACCCGGTGCTCCTCTCCAGCTCCCCCTCCACCACCACCTGTCCCTGGCTGGCCAGGGCTCACCAGTAAGAGCTGAGGATCTTCGTGGACAACGGATGACCCCCACCTGCTCTAGCCCCCTTCCTTTCCCATGTCCAAGTTCTTCCTATCAGAACCACAGCCTTGGGCACTGGCTAAATTAAAAGCACCTTTGCAGGACTGAACCCAGGACCAGGCTCATTGCTCTTTCCTCACTCCCTCTTACGATGGAGCTGCTGCCACGCTAATGATTCCAAGGTTGAATTTTGCCTGGTGCACTTTGATCAAGTTAGCAGGATAAACAATTGTGGAAATCATTCCTTGATTCCCATCAGACGTCTTCCCTCACACTCTGCCTCACCTTGCGCTAGCTGAACAGCTAAACAGCCCTAAAAATTTTCCACGTCAAAAATACTCAAAGATATCAAGACTAAGAGACACAACAAGCTTTTTCTGCCAACTGATTTGCCAATAATTTTGCATATACGAACACGGATGCAGCTTAAAGGAACCAAATGTCATATTCTCATAATACCTTTAGTTAAAAACAATTATACAAGAGCAAATACAAAAAATATTAAATTATGAAAACAAATCCATTAAGGCTCCCTTTTTATATTTATATATATTTATATATGTACACTCCAACAAGTGCAGATATTAACAGAAGATTAAAGCCACAAAAATGCTAAAAAATTTACTACTAACTATCAAAAGCATGAATTTTAAAAAAGTACAAAGTGGTGAGCCATTTTCAAATTACTGAAGTATTTGCTGGATTGCTTCAAAACCCATATAGCTAAAGGGCAGATCTGGAATTGCTTACACTCACTGGCAAGCAGTTTCTCACTTGAGTAGCCTCACAGGACACTTGTGGTGTGACTAGCTGGCCACCCATTTAAGGGTTGCCCATTCTAGCCCAATCCTGACTTTAAAGACAAGATATTGCCTGTCAAATTGACATGAAGGTGGCTGGGATTCCTAGACTAAAGGGTCAGCAGAATTCAAAGGTGTCCTAGCACACACATTGATGTTCTGTTCACACAGAGAATTGATTCCAACTGAAAACAAAAACCTACTTCACGCTGTATGTACAAGGGAGTTTTCTGGCCTCCTGTGTTTCTGAAAGAGAAACTCTACCCCCAGTCACAAGTTGATATGGAGAGAAAGCAGAATGCCTTCAGTCTTGAAGGGCCAAATCCAACACACTCACTGAAGCCAAAGAGAGGTCTTCCTCCCCACCGACTCTGGTGCCATTTGGATTACACCAACTTCATTGCACTGTGCATGCATGGTAGCGTTGCCATGCTCACTGAGGGGAAACGGCTGACAAGAAATGGTCTCTTCAAGCCAAAGGAAGGTTTCCTCACCAACTTCTACACATTTCCATACTGAGCAGAAGGTTAATTGTGGAGTGGAAACCAAGAGGCATGAAGTTTGTTAGGCTGGGAGCGGCTAAAACGAAACATGAGTGTGGCGTGGAAGGCTGGCATATAGTGCTGTCTCAACAACATGAAACAAACTCCATCAGTGCAAGTGTCTGAATAATGTGCTGCCAGAAAGGAAGGTCCTCTCCTTCCAGAAAGAGAGAAGGAAGAACTGAGTGTATTCCTTTGTTGAGAAAATACATGGAAGAGTTAACGTTTGGCCTTTGCGTTTCATATGTCCATAATCTGAACAGTCTGGTAGACCATCTTCACGTTTAATCTTCTAGACGTGAGTCACACTGCAAGTCTAAATCAATGGCAATACACTTATCACAATTCAATTTACTCTCAATCTGATTATCTCCTCATAAAAAATGCCTGGATCTTGACAAATTGAAGTCTGTATGTAGGAAACATTTCTAATTGTGAGCATTTTGTCCCACGTGCTATGCTGAAATTGTATTTAAAACATCTAATACAGGAAAAGCAAAAGGAACCAAAAAACCAACAAACCCTCCCCCACCACCTTTACAGTGCAAACACGCCACTGTTGATATTAATAAAAAGTGTTCTCAAACAGTTATATCCAATATAATTACAAAGCAGAAATTATTTTGTTTAGCATCCTAAAGCAAAGACTAGGATCAGATCAGCTGATATGGATGAACACAGCTTCAGTGAGAGCTAGGACTGTGCCGACCAAGGAAGATAAGAATTTCTCCCCCAGATTCAGAAGATAAGATATCTGCACCTGTTCACACCAGGTAAGAATCCAATTCTATAATCCTACATGAGTAACGTGTTCCCCCTCCTCATCCCAGGCTTTCCTGGATAACTAGTAGTCATAAGCATGAAGGATTAGATTCCACCATCCCTGTGCAAGCTGAGCAATATTTTATTCAATGGCAAGTCACGGGGCAACTTCCAGAAAGGCAGAAGGTGACAGAATTGGACCCCAAGAGTCAGTGATAACACACTTCACTTCTTTCTTGAGGCAAAAGGAAGGATGGGATAAAGTGAATTTCATTTTGTGCCTCACTTTCCATTTCAGTAGATTCCAATGATCAGTTTGGTCTGGCTTAAACTGCTCCGTTGCAGGAAGCGCAACAAGTTCCTGCAAGCAAAGGGCAGGAAGTGATGGCAGATCAGATTCCCAATTTCAGTTCCAGCAAACAAGTTTAAACACTACCAAGTAATGTGTTAACACCGCACTCAGATCAGCATATCCATGGAGGAGAAAGGCCACAACAGCAAAGTAAGCAGGATTTCAAAACAAAGAAGTAGAAGACCGGTCATTTTGCACTGAGAGGTAAATTCACAGGTAGCACTGCACAGGCCTGTACACAATGGTGTAAGTTTAAAGACTGAGAAAAACCAGCTTCTGCATTCTCCCTGCTGAGAGGATCACCAGATTTCTGCTCTCTTGTAGCCCAAATTCTACATGCCAAACAGGGAGAAATGGGCTTTAAGGCTGCTTCACTTTTCACTGCTGGTGAATTTTAGGCATTCTCATCTTGCCCACCTGCCTGTCTTAGTGGGGATGGGCAGCAGCGATCAACATGCCTCGCATCCTCCCAGATTTGATAAAAATTCCAACTAAACACAAATTACTGTGGGATATACACAGGCTGTAGGTCTAGATAGAGGAAATCTACCTGCACAGCAAAGCTTCATAATATATTACAGGAAGGTTTTTGTTCTGTTTTAAAGCAAAATATACTCTGTGTATCTCCCCTAAACTAGGATCACAAGAGATAAAGCAGTGCAACACTGAAGGAGCTTCTCTAGTATCCCTGGTTAAAATCTCTGAGTAAGCACATCAGACTGGTCCGTGACACTGAACTGACAAACAGACTCCTTATCCATTGATCTCAGGACTGCATTTGGCAAGTCGATCTGTTTACAGTACTGTCTTTTTCATCCACACGCCCCAGGAATTAAAAATCTCATCTTCAGTAAGTGTCAGCTGGATGCTGTTATCTTCCCTCTGGAGGGACAAATCTGAGACAACTTGCAAAAGCCTCTCTCTGCAGGAAAGCTGGAAGTCTTAGCAGGTGCTGGCTCTAGGAGTCCGGTGCTTCTGTTGCTTCCTGGACCGTCCTCCTCAAGTTGCCCTTGACTTTGACAAATTCAGGCGTATTTTCCTGCTCTTCCTGCATCTTCTGTTGCTCCAGTTCCAGCTTAAAAGAGAATCACATGTCAAAAAAAGTATAAAAAACTGATCATCAAAATACAAGACAAAAACCTAAAGGTTTCAACAACTGGCCATGTAAAACTGTTTAAACTGCTTCCTTTCTTTTCTCATGGAAAAGATAAAGTTGCATTTCTTTGGGAGTATCTGTTCTCATAAACAATAAATCTTTTCAGATCCTTGGCTGTAGCTCATTCCAGATGTCCATCTTTGCCAGACGGACAAAAACTCTGCAAGCCCAGTACTAGAAGAAGACGAAGCATTTTTGAAGAAATTCTTGGACATCTTAATTAAAGAAACAACAAAAATTCCCTTCTGTGGCTTTTACAACAGCACAAGGACGAATGTGCCCTGTGGGAGAACACATGCAAACAGCTGCTACTGAGCACACTCGCAGAATTTATTTCCGAGTGTCTAGGTATGGATTTCTGTACCTAACTTCAGCCTCTTTTGGTGTATCTGTTTTCTCCATCACAAAAAGCAAAAATCCTCCTTGGCCCTTAGTTGTTAATTTTCGAGAACCCACTCACTGACATTTTTAACATGGTTGGAGCTCCTGCCCATGGAGACATTCAAGATTACCACGTGAGGTTAGACACCTTGTTCTACGGAGCGAGGCCATACCAGGCCATACAGAACATGGCCTGCACATCACACAGAGTATGGATTGCTTAGCAATCCTCAGTGAAGGCAGGTAAGTCGGCAGAAAGGAAGAAACAACCCTTGAGAAAACTAACAAAAGCTCCTGAAAGGAGCTCCTGAAAAGCTCCTGAAAAGAAAGCTTTTTTTTTTTTTTAACAGGCAAAGATCTCCCTGATTAATGGGGACCGTGTATAGCTCCCCTAAATAATCTCTCTCCTTTATCTCTGCTTCACTGGCGAGGGACATGCCGTGTTACAGTAAACTGTGACAACCTTCTTCCATGAGTCACTTTGTCAATTAACGCCATTCTTATGATGTTCACAAAGTCACAACACTGTTTGCAATGGGCATGCTTTTCCTCTTCTAACAGAATTTTCTAATCTACAGATGCCCTTGGATAGCTCAGTTTCAAATAAAATCTTCCCACAAGCTGAACCATGTGAAGCTGGGCCCTTAAGAGCGGAAACGAAAAGTGACAGGATGATACACTTCAAAATACAACAGCTTTCTCCCTCCAAAAATATTTCTAAACCCAATTAAAAAAAACTATAATAAAATCCCCAAAACTTCAGTAATGATTGGATTATGCCTCATTTTCTCATTTGGCTTAACTGACTTCCATTGAGAAAAGCACTGTTTTAAAGCATTTATTTATTTAAAAATAAACAGAATGCTTGATGCACAGTGACTTCTCTGATGAGGTGTTTCATCCCTGAAATAATTCCTCACAGGCGCATGCAATGCCCTCAGAGGCACAGAGACATTTGGCCAGCCCTGTGCCTAGCAGGAAGCTTCACCACAATGACTCCAACCCCACGTCATCTCCATACTCAGGATCTGAGGATCTTTTCCTTCATTTGAGGACACCAACAGGCTCATAAATTTTAAGGCTATAAAAGACCTTTTTAAAGTCATCTAGTTTCTTACATAACCCAGGAGAAAGAATCAATTGATTTTTTTATTCAGGAAGTATCTAGTTTGGATGTGCTACAGCCTAACAGCCATTCTTAGTGGATCACCTCTTAATAGCAAAGACTACGAAAGTTGACTAGCTCACAACAGTTTCAACAGTTAAATAAGGTCAGTGCTCCACACACATTCCTTTTTTTATTCATTCAACCAAAGGCAGACACCATATGCAGTTTCTATACAGTAAATGACAACAAACAGGTAATTGTAGAGTGTGACCTGACTCATCCTAAAAAAAAAAAGGTATCTGCATCTGATCCAAGGAAACGTGTCAAAAATCAGCTGCTGCTGCTTTCCTATCTACAAAGAGAGCCTCAGGTGAGTAGCTCAGATGTAGCTGTGTGAAAGTACTGTTATCCCCCATCATACCTGCTCCAGCTTCTGCTGCCGTTTCAGTAGCTCTATTTCCAGGTCTGATTTCTTTTTCTGTGCTTCCTCCTCTTTTTGTTGTTTAATAACTTGATCTCGTTTCCTTTTCTCCATCACCTTCTGTAGCTCTGGTTTGTTCTGAGGTCCAAGACCCCTTCAAATTAAATGGCAGGGGTGGTGGTGGTGGAGGAAACCGGGAAGAAAGAAATCAGGTTTAATTAGCAGAAATTCACACAGAATTGTAGGCAGGTTTTCTAAAGTCAAGTAGTTGTCTATTTAGATACTTTGGAATATAAACAATTAATTAAAAGGAAAAAACATGCAGACTTTTGCCTGTTTCTAACCAAAACCCTAAACCAGAATTTAAGCTGTATTATTACTGAGGCCATTTCTCTTCAACATGCATGCTAGTATTTCTCCTGGGTAATTCACTACTTTTACTTTCACCTTTAGTCTTCCCTCTATTCTCTCAATTCCAGAAGAAAAAAAAAAAAAAAACAAAAAAAAACACAACCCACTGATCCAGACTCTAGCGGAGCTAGAAACAAATTTTGTACAAAGAGACTTCCCTTGCTGGCTGGTAACTCTGAGAGCTTGTGTTCAGACAGTCCTGTGCAGGGCATTATGCCCACAAACGTTTGCGTGGACAGAATTAAAAGGGGTCTCCCTCTGGATTTTGCCAAATTGCTCCTGGAAATGGTGGATTCTGCCCTTCCTTGACAATGTGAGAGCTTTACCCACGCCTGGCTGAGAAGCTGTTTCCAGCAAGAGCTCCCAGGCCACACTCAAAATCACAAAGAGACTAAGACAACAAAAATCCAGAATTAAAAAAGCTGCAGTCACCCTGGAGACCAGACAAAGGCTGAAGGATTCACCCTCTCACATGACTTTAGGCACTACATCAACTGAATGTTTAGAGTCTGTTCAGCACAAATTGTTTTCCAAGCCAGCTACCCTCAAATGAGAAAGCTTACTCTCTGGGAAGACGCATCACTTTATTCAGGCACACGCAGATGCACTCACTCCTACTTATTTTTGTGACTTCAGCTATTTCTTTTATTGCTGCTCTGCTATGATGTTTTCAAAATTTGTGATGATACGATTCAAAGCTCTCCCTGTTGTTCAGACATTAGTCACTTACATCAGAGCACAAAAATACGAAATTTGCCTTAGTTGTCGTCGTCTTCCCTGTGACAACTATTATGTGAAAATGTCCAGCATTAAGTTTAACATCAACCATTTTTTACTTCAACTTTAAGAAATTCAATAATCTGAATAAGCTTCCAGAAAGTGTATTTTTACCCTTCTCTCTCTCTCTGCATATCTGTATCTGTGGTTGCCCAGTTCCTCCATAATTTGCACATCTGACAGCATGTCCAACAATACATTAAAATGCCATTTTATAGTGACATCTATGAATGACTCCATATATTATGCACCATACCATCCCTGTACATTTCCCTGACAGCAAAATCAAATATTTAGCAACACCAAATGCTGTTCCCTGTTTCTCATAAGAGATCTCATGGCCTGAATGCAACAGAAGCTAAAAGATTGTGTTAATATTTTATGTTTCATGCTATTTTAAGTTTTATGTGTTGAAATGTAATTAAGTCAAGCACAGAAGAGGTGGAGTGATATTTTATTATTACTACTACTGGGTCAGTGAGAGCTGAATGAATGGAAACTTCTGTCGGCAATTAGCAATCAAGATGGCCATGAACGAGAGGCAAGCTGCTAAGTAAGATAACTTGTTCCTGCTTTTTTAAGTAAGGTTGCACGGTAACGAAGCAGAGGCACGTGAGTGATTTAGATGTGCTGTAGCTATAACAAAGGGGACCCGCAGAAGATACAAGTAAATACAGTCTATTCAAGTGGAGCTGGCAGTCAGACCTGTAACACAACAACTCTAACATCAATCCTATTTGCACTCTCCTTGACAAGATGGAAAATCAACAAACAGGAAGCTACTGGATTAACTGGGAGTCTTGTATCACCTTGTAGTGATTGTTCTGGGTAAATGAAAAATCCTAAAGCTTTGATACAGAGTAAGCAAAGCGTGCTACAACACAAGTTAAAACTGACAGGGTTAAAACCTCTGGAAAGGACAGGACCAATACCCTGCAGAGCTGAGGCTGAGTCCTGATAAGTAAAAATAGTTTAAGGTAAGGGGAGGTTTAGATTGGATATTAAGAAAAATTTCTTCACCAAAAGGGCTGTTCAGCATTGGAACAGGCTGCCCAGGGAAGTGGTGGAGTCCCCGTCCCTGCAGGTGTTTAGAAGATGTGTAGATGTGGTGCTTCGGGACTTGGTTTAGTGGTGGGCTTGGCAGTGTGGTGTTTGCGGTTGGACTTGATGATCTGAAAGGTCTTTTCCAACCCCAGGGATTCTACGATTCCGTAAGTGACCAGTGCCTTGAGGCACCACTACCCGGACCTTTGTTTGCCCAAAACAACTGCCACTTCTGCAAGTAAATAACTGTATCAGTTCAAGACCCAACAGACACTGCTTACAGTAGGCAAGGACAACGATCGGACCAGCACTGGCTAATATCTTCCAAGGTCCAGAAATGGCTGTTCAGAGTTGACTGGTCAAAAAGTGAAGCTGCTGGTGCCTACACTGCGTCTTCGCAATAAAATAAGATGCATGCTAAGCAGACTTCTGTAAGAGCACTAAAAGTCCTCCATACACACGGCAATTCGCAGTGACAAAGCAGAGCAGAAGCGTAATATCTACATTACCAAAAAGCCTCATATCAGAGGTAGTCAGTGGCACGAAGCACTCTTTTCAAAAATACCAGTTTTTCTGCTGGTGAAAACCCTCAAAGATTTTTAATTCTGCACCAATAAATAAGAATCTAAAATTAACAGCTGCAGCTAATCAAAATCACAATAAGAGAAGAGTGGGTACTGAGGGCTGCACAACTCCTCTGTGTAACAGAAAATTCTCCCAGAAGAAAAGAACTCCATACTATCTAAAAGTGCTTTATGCTTTCACAAACTTAAAAGAAAAAAACAAAACTGCAGCCTCCACATCCTTTAGAGCAAGATTGTATGTCGGGAAACTTCTTTTCTTTCAATGACTATAAACTTCTTGGTGCTAGGAACTTACTTTGATGTTTAATCCCATTAATGAAAAATAGGACAAACACCTATTTAGGCCAGCTTCTTCCAATTCAGTTGGCATTCTGTAAAACATTTCTACTTCTTCATCACTAAAGGAACATTGTATTGTGTACGCAATTCATTTAGAATTAAGTATCTAAGCCTAGCATTTGCGAAGATTTTGCTCTTACACATAGAAAAGATTCCTTCTCACCTCAAAATACTACCCTGCCAGAGGAGGAGGGGGAGAAGAGAAACTTTTGTGATGTGACTTTTCCTGCCAAATAGACAAATGCAGTTGTGCCAGATAAACACATGTGGACCCCCACACCCTTGCCTCTGGAAAGCCATTTGGGGTAGCTTCAGTGCACCAAATCACTGATTTATATTGTAGTTAGCTTCTGTTTGTTTAAATGCAGGAGCCTCAACAGGCTTGATGGCTTTTCCTCCACTGTGTGGTCTGGTGGCTACTTTCTATTTATGTTTTCCAAATGAGTCCTCCACTGCTGACGAGATTTAATAACAGAACTTCAGCTATTTCTCTGCAAAGTGCCTGTGTCTCTGAAGTCAATGAAATCAAGTTCCAGTCATTTACATCTTTAAAATAAATATATAAAGCAACAGCTGTGCATCCCATCGCAGAATGGAAGAAGCAACACTTGCATAACGTACAAAGAAACACTTGTGCAGCAGCAGAGCAGGCACCAGACTATCACACTGCACTGCAAGAAAGACCAAATAAGTAGAGAACAGTTTCTCTGAAATAAAGCATACGATTTCTTTGATTTAGAAGTGGCTCCCTAAACTCAGTGCGCTGGGAATGGTGAAAACCCAAAGATTTTAGCATCCTGCTGGTAATAGCAAAACTATGTCAAATACTTGATAAAGAGTTCCAGACAAATTATAGTACCCAGGTAACCAATATGAAATGCGATAGGGGAGAACTTAACTGCTTCCTCTTGAAACTGACCCTCTGTGAGTATACACAAAAACAAAAGGAGAAGAAGCCTTTTACAGCCAGCTTTTGCAGAGCAACTGAAATTCAAAAGAAATAAATGACACAGTTGAGAATCAGAGTCTTTACATCTATAAGATCAGAATCAACAAAAAGAACCTGCTGGGTTTTGGGTAAAATCTCATTTCAATGACACTAAAACTCAAGCTGTGTATTTGGGGTGGGAGGGTGGCACAAGTGATTTTTAGACTCTTACCTTTTCTGATTCATTAGCAGTTCTCTATGGAGATCTTGATGATTCCGGGATGACTTCACAGGATTAATTAATTTCTGAGGTCTAATTAATTCAGGATTGTCATCGTCTATGTAGTCTGGTTCAGCCATAATCTTTCTTGGAATGGGATATGGATCTCTGTGTTCAGTGTCTTTATTCACAGTATCTGTAAAACGGGAAAAACTGCAGTAAATCTAGACGAAAAGGCCTTTTAAAGATGTATCAAAACATAGAGGCAGTGTATTACATTGGTAACAGTTACATTTTTCCTAGATTAATTTTGTCTGTAGTCAGTAAAAGCTCTCAGAGCAATCAGCAGCATCTTTTTAAATAGTCGGCAATTTCACAACAATGTCATCTCCAACTCCCTTCATCCGTTGACACAGACACACACATTTCCCTCATTTTAAGAAGAATTAGATAAATAATTTAGGTTAAGCATGTGAAAAGCTCTATTGATTTTAACAAGCCTGTTCACACAAAGCATTTTTAGATCAGCAATACAGAGAACCTACAGACATTTTAAATACTGACTATATTAAATACTACCAGTGTGTTCCAAAACCATACAGAGTCGCATTTTCTGCCATCAGTATCACGCCAGCTGTGGGGCAAAACACCTTCTGTGGATAAGCCCTGAACTGTACTGCTCCGAGCAAAAGATTCCATGTGGAAATTGCCAGATCTGCAATTGTTGGGATGGGGGACAGATTTCTGAGTGGAAAGGTAGGAGAAAATTTTGGGTGAGGTTGTTTCTTAAAGGCTGTATTTCACCCAGTGAAAATCCACAGAAATTCACTGATCTGAAGGCAATGAAGTCTTAATGATTTATACCATCTGGAAATATGGCATTTTCCTATGCTGCTATAGAAAAATGTATCTATACAGCTAATCATAACACTTCTAATCAACAGCTGACAAGTAAACTATCATTTTCAAATAATTATAGGTGACCATTCAAACCCCCTTCCATTAAAAAGCCTCAGACACAGAAAGTTCGGCACCCGAAACAAAGCACATTCAGAGTGATTCTGCCTCTGTTTGCTGTCATGGAAACCCGCACACAGAATCTGCAGTGATCAGTTTGACAAAACATTGGCCCCCCAAACAGACCCCAAAAAATCTCACAGCATGTGGGTTTACAGAGGTGAATCAATGGGATTTGAAAGAAAAGGCGAGAGACCTCCATTAGCCTGACTGGCAGACAGCTGAACGCTGCACACTGTACGGTACGGAGCTATGAGACAAGTTAGAGAATCACTGGGATTTGCTGTGTATTTTCCAGTAAAAGCTGAATATGCGTTTTAATTTAGATCCTGCTGTCATCAGCCCTTTCCTCCCTCTCTCACTCCATGGGCTGTAAAACCTGTCTAAATTCAGTCTCAGTTTAATCCGTAAACTATTTTCTTTCATTAGGAATCTGATATTGTTGCTCAGGTCTGATTCAAAATTCACTTGACACAGCGGAAAGATTTCCACTAATGTATCTGTACATCAGCACTGAACAGGACCACCAGCACCCTGCTTGGGCTGCGTGGGCACTCACAGGCGAAGCAGCAAAACAACAGGACTAAGTTCTGAGCGGATGCCGGGAAGCCACTCTGGATTTGAATGTGTCCAGTGGGTCCAGTACAGCCCTTTCAACTTCTTTGTTGGAATGGATGATGTGAAATGTTTTATTGGTGGTACGTGTCACACACCAAGCTTCTACGGAGCAAATCCAATGAGAAACAGCTTACCAGTGTGAACTGCTCTCAGGGTGGCCCCTGCATTAGTTGTTCAAGGCAACTTTATATATAGTGTTTTTCAGCTCTTTGGGCATGCTAGTTCTCACAGGGACCTCCGAAACTAATATGAAAACTGCCCACAGTTCAAAACTACATCAGTATATTGCTGTACATGACATAAACCTCTTACTGATATGGGTCATGCAGTAAAAATACTTCCCCCATCATCCCTTCAGAGTCCTCCTTGCCTCAGTCAAGTAACCAGCTATCACACATGTGCCAAGTATGCAGGATCACTGGAAAACTGAGGTTAGAAGAAATCTGGAAGATTTCTAATCCAACCTCCTGCTAAGAGCAGGAACACCTACGAGATCAGACCAGATTGCTCAGGACTTTACCCAGTAAGGTCCTGATGTCCTCCAAGGCTGCACAGCCTCTGTGGGCAATCCTGCTTGTCTGCCTTCATGGAGAAGTTTTTCCTCACACCCATAAGAATCTCTTGCTTCAACTCACACCTGTTGCCTCTCACCCTCTGGCCTAGCACCATGCTGAAGAGCCTGGCTCTGTCTCCCCGGTAAGTTCCCCCCAACCTTGCCTCTGCTCCCGGCTGAGCCAGCTCAGGTCCCTCAGCCTCCGTCACAGCACCCGCACCCCAGCCCCCAGCCCATCTCGGTGGCCCCTTGCTGAACCTGTATCTCAAATCCCTCGCTGTTCAATTGCATGTCATATAAAAAAAAACTGAACCCCTCCCCCCCCAAAAAAACCCCAAACCACAGCATACTTGTCAACGTATACCACATAGCACCATGCCATTAATATGTCTATTCGCCATGTCTATCCTCTTTACCACAGACGATGACTAAACCAGCTACCATTCTTTCTTTTTTTTAAATAAGGACACAACAATTCACATCAGGCTTATCACAACCAAAACAACTCAAATGTTACATATCCAGCCTCCACCCAAAATAAACATGCTGTGTAAATACTTGGTTTTCTGTACTCCTCTATCATTTCAGTTGATGGGGCTGTGAGTCATTTATCATCGACAGCTGTCCATTGAAGTAAATCTGCAAATAACCTGCTGCTTCTTCAAGACAAGTCTTCTGTTTGCTTAGGCGGAGATGAAAAATGCAGAATTACCCTAAAACTGTCTGTCATAAACAATGTACTATTTTTTTTTTAACACCAGCTCCTGAAAAACAATTTGATTCAATCATGTCTCAGAAAGTTTAATGTAATATTTTGCAGTATGTAGATTTGCTTTTGGCAAGCCCTTAAAATGAAGTCTATTTATTCTTCTTTCTTCTGTTCCATCTCTATTTTTAAAAACATGTATTCAACTCAGAGGTCAGGAATCGTGGTTTCCTAATGTAACACGAACTCTACTAGCAGCAAACTTGAATGAATAAAACTCCCTTGGGAACTGAAGATGCTTTCCATGTGTGATTAAGCTGAAAATGATTTCAGCTAGGATTTCCAAACAGAGCCAGCGAAACAGGGCACCCAGCTCCTACTCAGTGAACTCTCTCACCCCTTTTTGCAAACCTCAGTTTGGCTGGAGTCCACCAACCCAGTCCTGCGGAGTCACTGTGTAATATTATACACAATACAACTATGACAGTGTGATTTCTACCCATACCATTTCAAAGCAAACACAAAAGCACAGGCAAGTTTCATGTGAAAAGGAAACTGAGGCACAAAGGATTCATCACACAATGGCAGACAGGAACAGAGCTGGCAGTACAGCCCCAGAGTTTCATGCTGAGATTCAGGTTCACACCAATAAACCAGTCACGCTTGATGACAGAATCCCTTGAAAGTCACAGGAAGTTCCATCTGAACATGAGGAAGAACTTCTTCCCTCTGAGGGTGACGGAGCACTGGCACAGGCTGCCCAGGGAGGCTGTGGAGTCTCCTTCTCTGGAGATATTCAAGACCCGCCTGGACAAGGTCCTGTGCAGCCTGCTGTAGGTGACCCTGCTTCGGCAGGAGGGGTGGACTAGATGACCCACAGAGGTCCCTTCCAACCCCGACCATTCTGTGATTCTGTGAAAGTTTAATCAATGTTCAAGCAGTAACAATTAAAAAAGATACTAATTCCACAATCCTCTAGTTCTCATCACCACGAAAGTCACAACCCATAAAGCTGCTTTCAGATCATCACTAGGTGCAACAGCGGGACATGAATAATCCAAATAATCACTTAGCAGGAACGTGCTGCCTTGAGAGCATCCGAGAGGCTCCTTTTAACCATCTGCTCTTACAGGAGCAATTAAGAATGCACAATCCATTTCTGTTTCCCTACTACCTTGCTCCAAAACAAAGGAAAGATTTGGAGGATGTTTTAGGTGAGCTTGGCTGAAGTTTAATACACCCACTAATTTAGCAGGTGCTTCCCCCGTGCATTTGCTGAATTAGCTGCTGCTGCACAAAAGCATTTATCTACCCAGCCTTGTCCTGCCTGAGTAACTCTCACAGACTTTGTCCATGACTTCTTACATACACGTGGATTTTCATCAAGAAAGAATGAAATGGGGATCCTGCATGGAAGAAGGATTTTAACTCCTCAAATAGAACTGCAAAGCAATTTCAACATCCCACTAGACAAAGAAAATGCCTCTGTATAAAAATAACTTCAAGCATCCTCCCAGACAAAAGTTTAATGTTTTCAGACACAAAGATGAACCAAGCAGTATGACACTGGCACTTCAGTCTTGGAAAGCCAAGACCAAATGGTCACATACTTGCAATCTTCTCATTTATTTTTTTTGCAGGGCAAGAAAATTGAGAGAGAAACAGAAGAGACCCTTCAAATCGATCATGCAGAATAGATACAACTGAACTGGGGTGTGCAAGAAGCATGCATGTTACACGTGGAGGAACATGTCCAACAGACACATTTGCTTCCAATGTTATTTATTTCTTACTCTATCTATAACAGGGTCTTCTTCAGCAGAAGTCTCTTAATGGTAGTAACACTGGAAACAAATGTGCAAAGAGAGCTACAGACAGCCACCAGTGTTTTTAACAGATTCAGAGTAGATCTTGGCAACATCAGGTTAAGGATTCAGCAGCTGCCAGAGCTTTTGCTACAACAGGGCTTCCACTGCTTCCGCAAGAGGGGGAAGTTCATGCCAAAAAATCCTCGTGTTTATATGGCATTAAAGGATTGCATTTATTTTCTATGTGGTATTCCTCATACCAGAAATCACCCTCTACATACGGAATTTGAATATAAAAATTCCTGTGAGACACCATATATTTATATCATTATACATATATATGGCATTTTCACCCTTCAAATGATTCCCACAATTATTTCCAGCTGTGAAAGCAGACATAAAGTTGAGGCCCCTTAAAAAGCAGATAAATAAATGCCTAAAAGTACCAATGAACATCAAAATAATAGACTACTTCAGGATCCGAAAGTTACACTAA